TCAAAAGTTTGTTCATACATATGCATTTGGCCGGATATATCTCCACGACGGGGTGGAACAACGTGTTTGTTCTGCTAATTCTTGCTATTTTTTGTGCAACTTTGTTTTTGATTCGGATTGCGAGAACCGAGATTAAAGGGAAATTGAATGAGGGAAAATGGTCTTTATATAGCCGCATAGGAGGCACACAGTGATTGAGATTTTCTAATTTCTTGTCATACCACAAAAGCAAGTAGATTTTAGGCAGATCCATTTCTCTGTACGTTTTTTTATCTCATTGTTCTGTTCAACATTCATTATTCAAAAATCAACTTATTTTTAAAATAGAAATTTGGTGACTTCGCTGCGGCAATCCACCTCAAAAGGGTTAGAATGGCAGTTCCTGCTCCTTGGGAGGTACCAAATAAATGACTACTTGAATCGGGATTTTGAGCATAAAGATTCCACTGACCTGTAAAAAGTGGACCTAATCCTTGGGGATGTGGCAATACATCTAAGAAATTATTCCATCGAACGTTTTCTCCCCTGGATCCGGGAATAGCGACATGAACTAAATGTCCTGTCCAAGCCAAGGAACTCACTCCGAATAGTCCTGACAAGTGATGATTTAGACGAGATTCGGCATTTTTAGATAAAGAAGTGCCTCGAATCATTGCTATTTGACTTGGACATGTTCTAAAAAAGTCGAGGCATTTTGAATTGTTTGTTGACACGGACAAAATCAAGGAAAACATTTGAAATTATTTCAATATTGGACCTTGGACATATAATAGTTCCGAATAGAATCTCTTTAGAAAGAAGATCTTTTGTCTCATGGTAGCCTGCTCCGGTTCCTTTACGAAACTTAAAGAGTTAGAGAGTTAAGCGGAAATAAACATAAACAGAAGTGTTTCCCCCAAGATTGGTTGGTTAGTCATCTTGACTTGAAGCAGGTTTAAAAGATCAACTAATTGGCCGTGTATTAGCAGACGATATATATATATATAGGCACACGATGCATTGCCGTTCGAAATCAAGTATTGGGATTGAACTTGTCACTCGATTCATAACCTTTCAAACACAACCAATATCTATCTGAACCTCCTTTACTTGTAGGAGTACATCTTGGATCTATTGATTATGTTATGGCAGAAACCCCACTCATGACGACCTGGTTGGGAGAAACTGTAGGTATTATTGTGGGTCAATCTAACCCTTCTTGAAGCCAGGACAAAACACAACTTATTGATTATACCACAAAAGTTGGTTTTTATTAATTTTCTCTTAAAATTTTTTATTTTTATTTTTTCAATTTGGTGTGTATATGTCACGTGAACAGTCCATGAGCCACTTAAAAGGTGAACGACTTTTGGCCCTCACTAAACCCACTGTCGTGAACGAATTGAACGCATACTCTAACAATCATATATCTGAGTGCACCAAAATGACAATTTAACCCTCGTAAGTAGCTCGATTGTTGTTCACGTGACAAATGTGAAAACAATTTTGAATAGGGGTTCAATTGAATGTGCCTTTAAAATGACTGAAAAAGTTTTTGGTTAAAATGTTTTTAAAACTAATCTTTAATAAAAACGTAAGTGAATCTTAAAAAAATACTTTGAGTGCTTTCTGGAAGAACTTTAAGTGCTTTTGAAAGTCAAAAATATTTTTTCTAAAAACCCTTGCAGTTATTTTAAAAGCGGTTTCATTTATTCTAAAAGCACTTTCAGATAAACCTTCCAATGTTGAATGATTTAAAACCGAGCACAAACATGGCATGTCGTCAATTTCTTTTAATGAAGATAAAATGGGAAAAGGGATCCCGAGCTAAATCCACCAATCCAAGCCCTTGAAATTTGATCCAACTGCCAAAGTTATTATAACTTTTAAAGAAGATCCTGTTTTTAGACGTTGGAACAAATTTCGATCCCTTTCCGATAAAATGATGTGGTTTCGGCCCCCGTTTCCTGTTCTTTGCCCGCGCAAGCACTTTGTACCTTCAGGCCCAAGGAAGAAAAAAAGGGAAAGGGTTTCCCTACTGGCCGTGGGATTACTCAAAACAGTTAGAAATGACCTATTTTTGATAGGAAAACCATGTCAATTACCTGTTTAAACATGGATTTCTACGCACCACTATAAATCAACACCCTCCCTCCCGCCACCATGAACGAACACAAACAACACCAACAGTTTCTCGAGCTCTTAATTTCCCGGCCGCGAAAAACTTGTAAGTCGAGAGGAATTCAACTTCTAAGTCGAGACATGGGTTCGGCTAGCTCGAAGAGTAAGCAAGACAATGCGAAGAGAAAGGACTTGGTGAAATCAGTAAAGATGAACAGGTACGCGTTTGCGGATGCACTGCGCGAGCATATTCTCGCGCTCCTTAAAGTAGCGGAGGCTATAAAGTTGTTTGTAGAAAGCCATTCTTTCGAAGTTTCGACGCTCTCTTCCAATGCAGACAGAGGAAACGAGCAGCAGGAAAATTCAGACGGTGCTGAGACAGATGAGGAACAAGAGGAGGTGGATCAAACAGTGCAGTCACCACGGGGAGATTCCGATTGCTCCAATAGTGACGGTGATAGAAAAGAGGTGGTCAAGATAAGTAATGAAAGGGGTAGAGAGAGAGAATTGTTGGAAGCATTGAAAGATGTCGAAGACTACTTCCGTTGGGCGTATGATTCCGTCGGGCGTATGATTTTACGTAAATCTAGCTTAAGAAGTTCTTCAACACGGGCTTGTTTCGATAGTGGTCTCCTCGGTGACAAGGGATCTCCAAGCCATTCATTAACGCTAGGAAAGCTTTATGCTTTGGACGAAAACCTCTACAGCGAGCAGAAGGTAATAGAGGAAACCGAGGTAATTTATGACCGAAAATCGGAAGATCTAGACACCAAAATATACGAGATTGAAATCTTGTATTTTAGAATTTTGACAGCCAAAAAGAATGCTAAATCAACTCCGAGATAATTCGGAAAATGAGAGATGCAGAGCTACAATCACAACTCGTTAAGTTGTTAAAAGGGTAAGCTAGATTTCATAGTCTGATTTTCTTTCATGGTTTTTTTTTTTGTTTGTTGGAGTTTTGTTCTAACCTCTCCTTCTCAATTTCTGCAGCATAATGAAAAACTCGAAGAGAATGTCCGAATTTCTGGAAGCCCAAAGGAGAATAATGTCCGAAGTGAACTCTTTCAAATGTCCGTCCAATGGAACGCTCTGCAATGACTCGAACCAGGTTGCTACTTGGAAGCTCGAAAAGGAACTTCTAAATTGGAGTACACGCTTTGCTTCGCATGTTTCTTCGCAAAAGGCGTACGTCACAACTCTAGACCGCTGGCTAGCTAAGTGGGACGATGCCGAAACTGAAAGCAAGTTAAAATCCAAGGGGGTTAACCCGTCATCGCTTGCAATCTGTCGACATTGGTCAGATGGCCTAGATAAGCTGCCATATCAAGCAGTGACTTGTGCCATCAACAGCTTCGCGAAAGATGTCCGGTCCCTGAGGGATCAACAACATAAGGAGCGCCGACAAAAAGGGGTGGTTGACAAGCTTGCCAGAAGACTCGGGAGGGAGAATTTTTTGCAGGATACAGACCTAAAGGAACAGATGCGGACTGAGAAGAAGAAACTTCATACTATTACGCAGAAGACGCGGGATATCGCTGTGAACGGATTTCAGACGCGGTTTTCTAAAGTTTTTGGCTCCAAGGCAAAGTATTTCAGACGCGGTTTTCTAAAGTTTTTGGCTCCAAGGCAAAGTTTTTCGACTCCATGGCCAAGTTGTTTTCAGAGCCTGCTACAAAAAAGTCTGGTCGTCCAAGCAAAAATGCATGCGGGACTCGTGTCAAAGCGATCGACAGATGAAAGGGATGCGTACTAGGTTTTCAGAATGTTAGGCAACTTTAAGAATGTTGGGTTTCTTTTAAAGTATATAACTATGTACTCTTGTTCGAATAACAGTAATCTTAAGAATTACAAATTTTGAGTTCTAACAGATAAAATTTATGCACACGACTTGAAAAACTAAGGTACAATAACATTACAATCTCTCCGTTAATCCGACCAGCCTGAATACTTCGGATATACAATGTGTTCTTTCCTCGAATAAGCTTTCTAGCTCTATCGTTCGCCAATAGGATACAAGTATTTATTCCAAAACTCAATAATACGAACATCTTCTGTATCCTTGTTCTCTGGAACAGATTCGAGCACCAGATTTTGGATGAATGTATATACATAGGGCGAACTAAGGTCCATTGGCTGTATTATTGCTGACCAGTTGCCCATCAGGGAATTATCGACAAATAAACGAGTGATTCTATCTGTCTAAGAAGAATTTGAGATTCTGAAGTCCCTCAGCAGAAATGCTTCGTCTGACTCGAGGTCTCTCTACCACCACATGTGGAGGTGGCTCCAAGTGGAAACTTACCATGACAAGCGTCAAATTGTCCGTTGCTCCCCGCGTTATTGCCTCCTCTACTATTTGCTTGCAGCACAACTTCACATCATTGTGCTCTTGCAGTACAACTCGGCTCATTTTGAAGTAGATCTACGAACCGAACATTGGAAATCCCAAAAAACATAAGCATTTCAAGTGATTCATTTGAAATTCGAGTTATTTCACGGACTAACACTCATATATTGCGTCTCTCATCGGTCCAAATTTCTAATGGTTCTCGTTATCTCTGTGAGGCAATTAAGTGTTATCTTGATCCAGCTGCTTAGGGAACAGTTTGGATATAAGAAGGGCCATCAGATTGTGTTTAGGGAAACTGAGGGGTTCGGATTAGAAGTAGATCAAGAGAAATAAAATTAACCATGAAAATGATGGTGTGTTCAATTCAATTCCCCTATAATCCCATCTATTCTATTATGTTCAACGGCTCAGATTTAGTAACTTTTGTCCCTGATCAATTGAGCGGCTGCGATCTTCGTGGATTTATTTTTTCGAGAGACAAACAGAATCTTGATCAACATGGCAAACCACCATATATACTATATTTTCTTCTATTCCTATTAAATTCGTCATTCTAACTCTCTTATCTCCATCTATTCAATAGCAACGATGGAGACCAAAGAGGAGAGAAGCTTCATTGATAAGGTAATAATCAAGTGGTATCAAGATCCAGAAGTCCTCCAGATGTTGAAGAAGAGGTTTGTTTGGCCGTCCGTTGAAAGAAAACGAAGCCGGATTTTCTAATATGCTCCTGTGCAAAGTTTCCGGTGTATAAGATACACTAGATCATACTAGAATTTTCAAAAACAGGACATACAAAAATCAAATTTATTTAAAAAATAAAACAATTCGATCGAGTTCTAAGTCTTCCCTCATTTTGTTTGTGCCTAGGGTTTCAACAGCGACAGCGATGATGGAGATCGATAGCATGAAGGACGTCACTGCTGGTCAGAAGAAAGTCAAGTGGTTCGAGAATCCAGAGATCCTCCAAATACTGAAGACGATGTTTGATCCTTGGCTGAACGAAGATGGCATGCCTGACGCCACCTCTCTCTTCAGCCGTTGCCCTAGAGGCTTTGGTAACATTTTTCTCTTCTTGTTAATACATACAACACCAACAACCGAGAGTCTTATCACAATAAGAGCCGTTCCGTTTTGCGCCATGTCTTCCGGTAGCTTCTTGTTAAGTGAAGTCCACACACTTCCCCTCTTTCTCCTCTCAGCCATGGTTTCCTCTGCCTTGCTCCACTCCTCGTACGGCTCCGGCGTCTGGTCCAAGAAGGAGTGGGTCATCCCTGAGATTGACATCGACGACACCATTTTGACGTTCGAGGGGAACTCCACCTTCTTCTGGGCGGACCGCGAGCGGCAAGCTCGCGAGGCGGTGGAGAATTCAAAGTCGGATTTGCAGATTGGTGAGTCTGCAGGTCCACAATGTAAAGCTGCACTTCAAGAAACTACTCGTATCATTGAACAATGTCTTACAACTAATGGAAAAGCAATAAGGCGTTGTTTGGTGCAAACCAGGTTGGAATTTCACACTTTGCACCCACCATTTGTAAATCATGAGTCCAGTTCCCACCGGTGGGATTTTTTTTTTTTTTCACTTGTCACTTGCATATTGACCAAGTTTGTGTGCAGCTTGATATTGATGGTGACTTAATGTATTTTCTAGCGGATGCTGCTGTTATAGCAGTAAAAGTTACTTCTTTCTTAGTTTTGTCACTCCGTTTTCAGTTTATCAAATTATTGATGTTTATTTGCTTGACACTTTGCAGTTTCGGTATGGAAATCCCGATAGAGTGAGTTGCAAAGGGGCGAGAGAGTGAGTTGCAGAGGCGAGGGATAGAGATGAAAGAGAGGGAGAGTTAGTGAGAGAGATGGAGAGTTTTGTCCGAGAGACAGACAAATTTTTGGACAGTGGAAACGGTCCGGGTCGGGGACCCGTTTCCTCAGCAATTAGGACTCGCCCCGCCTCACAACTAACGTGGACTCACCCCATCCCGTTCCATTTCAAATTTAAAAAAATTGGACCCCCTACCCACGGGGCCATGCCTCGTTTGCCCACCCCAAGTTGTGATTGTTGTTGGATATCATATATTATTATTACAATGTCCAGGGTTTGGGATTTGTTATAACTTTAGGGGAGGTTTTGTTGAAATTTTGGTATAATTTGTAGTGTTTTTTTTTACTGTTTTTTATTTTTTTCAGCAAAGAAAAATACCCAGGGACCTTGTCTCCAGTTGAAGATGGCGAAGGTCATCCAAGTGACCAACGAACGTATCACAATCGGATACGATGACTGGCATTGGGCTGCACCAACGCTGGAGCAACATAGCGCATTGGTCACGTCATTTGGACTTGTTGCCCTATGCGATAGAAGTCTTGGAAGACGATGCTAGACGAGGTAAGGACAAAGGTGTACGCTTATTTGTCGGTAAGTATCCTGCCTTTTTATTGTTTTTTCTTTAAATTTTATATATTTATATTACTTAATGTATGTAATTAATTTGTTACATTGCAAACGAATTACAATTTCGACGACGTCAACATGCTCTTCGCTAAACAGTACAAGCAATGGAAGAGAGACATGCACCAATATTTTCAAACATTTGATGATCCGCAGGTTGCTCTTGAGGAGGGTTGCTCGAAGGAGTTTGAGGATCGGGAAAAAATTGGGTGTGGCTCTGCAATCATTTTCAGGTGCCCCGCTATGTGGTACGTTTTTTATATTAAGTCTAAAAGTATTATACGTTTCTCTTATTGATTTTTTCATATTTCATTTAAATTAGAACTAATACATTTATTTTTTGTATAACAGAAGAAGGCGAAAGCCAACAAGATCAATCGGGAGAAGAAGACTCTTCTCCACCATTCGGGTTCGATTCCCTTTTAATATAGGATGGAGGCGCGGCGGTAGGTAATAATAAAGCTTTTCATATTCAATTTTTAATATTTCAGTAATATTAAGTTTTCTTTCGTACTAACATTTTTCTTATCTTGTTCTATTCAGGGGGGGTTCAAATTTCTAGGAGATTGATGTCTTTGTAGACGTTTATGTTCGACCCAGGGATGAGTTGGCCAAGTCTCTTCATGTAAGTATTCTTCAATTGTAATTACTATCTTGTGCATTCAAGTATCATGGTTATTATTTGAATGTTATTATTAATATTTCATGTTACATTACACATGTGATGATGATGGAGAAGAGGTAGTAGGTTCTTCAAGAGTCCGCCTCCCAGCTTCCTCCCGAGACTTTGCTTGAGTTTGTGGATCCCCCTGAGGATGCAAGGTTTCAAATCCTTACAGACACCTTGGATCAGACTCTCGGGCGAAGGCCGATGACGTATTGTAGGGGGATGGGGAATGCTCGGCGGCGGGAACTTTGAGCGTCTTCATCCTCCCAGTCGAAGGGTGAGGTGACAGCTTTGACAGCAAAGGTGGCCGACCTTAGGACTGAGCTCACCTCGTATAAAAGCCAGATGTCAGTAATTGTAAAGGCCCTCAATTAGTCCGGCATTCGTCTCCCGGATATTCGTCCCCTGTGCACGTGCTAGCCCCTTCAATCTGAGCATGCCTAGAACTCCGCCCCTTCGACCTCTAAGCTGTCTCAATCCTGACCCCTTTTTGCCCCAATTTTCCATCCGCATGCGAACGACGACCCCGTAGATTATTCCACATTTTTTTCTTAGTTGTTTAGTCCCTTACTTTTAAAACTTTTTCCTTGTACATACATTTTATTTTTATTTTAAATAAATTATTTGTCTTTTCATTACATTTTTTTATTTTTATTTTATTTTATTATTTTATTATAAAATTAAACCCATAACAAAAAAATATAATTTTTTTTAAAATTTATTATTATTATTTTTTTTTTTTGTGAATAATAGCTTCGTTGTGCATACTTTATTGCGATAATTCACTTTCGTCGCGCAAATTTTTTAGACACGAATATTAGTCGTCCTAGGTTTGTATCTTGGCATTTTGTGCGACAAACATATTCGTTCCTAAAAATTTGGTGCGACGAATGTGGAACCGTCGTGTCTTATTTTCCGTGACCAATGCTTTTGTTCATTGTGCAAAGTCTTTCTTCACAATCTTTGCGCGACCGATTTTGCGGAACAAAGTTTTCATCGCGCATACATTTGTGCGACGCTATTAAGCTTTGTGCGACCAATTTCTGTTTGTCACGCTAAATGTTAAACGTGGTAGTGATTGATTTTTACTTTAATTTGAGTCTCAACTCAATTCAAGTTCAACAAACTTTTAAAAAAATAAGGCTGAAAATTTTAACTCGAATGAACGAGCCAAGGAGATCTCAAAACCCTAAATTACGAGTAGGTGAGAAGAATATTTGAGTGTTTGTAATTGTTTCCATATGATTCTACAGTAAGCAAGGCTCCTATCATTGTGTGTGATTAGTTTACTTTCGTGTTCTTGATCGCTTATAGTTTACTTTCGTGTTCTCGATCGCTTATATATCATTTTTCTCTTATTGGTTTGAGGGAATAAAGGCTCAAACTTCCTGACTTTTTCATGATACTTCAAGAAATCCATTGAAAACTTACTAAATTGTCTAACAAATGGGCAATTTGATTCTTACTGTTGGAGGAAAGATCAGCAGTTTTCAGTTATACTGCAGAAAGGAAGAATACAGGAGAATATATATGGAGGATGTCTTTTGAACGACAACTGAAATTTAATTTTATTGCTTTCAATTTTTTATTACAACACTAGGCCAATCTTATTATTGGCTATTTTTTAATAACATTCAGACCTTTTGATAACAGCTATAACTCTTGGATAAGTTCCAAGAGAGACAACTCTACATAACAGAAAGTGCATTACGTTTAATACTTACATAATTGACATGATCCTAGTTGATCTAAGGTTGTTACATATATCCTCCTTAGGTTCCTAAGTAATCCTCTCTAGTTCCTGTTGAAATCTCTCCATGGCCGAGGATGGCAAACACATTGGTACCAATATTCCATCCTCAGTGTTGTTTTTGTGTTGAACGTAGAAGCTAATCAAATCCAAGGCCTTGGCGGGTCCAGCAAATACCGGCTGTCCCCATCCAAAATTGACATCTCCAAAACCTACACGCGTATTATCAGAAACTATTAAATAACTTCCGGTCGATGAATATTGAGGTCGCCCTCTTAGTACCAAAAGATCTGCCACTGATCTTAAGTATTCTTCATTCATGGTAGCTTTAGCCTTCTTCACCAACTCCAAAGCATATCCTAGTGGATTTTTGCATAGAGGTTCAACCTTTGAAATTGCAGCTGGAAATGCAAATGCATTGCCATAGTATCCCAAGGGAAGACGTACATTGTGGTGTTTTCCCCGTGCATTGACAGTGCATGAAACTCGAACAGCCTGTTTTGGATTAATTTTAAGTGCAAGAGTGCGACATTTCCACAAACAAGCTGTGATCAAGTCAAATGTGGAGTAAGTGGAAATTAGGTGGGGTGGAATCTGTTTTCGAATGACTCTCATCTCCTTGGCACCAAAGTAGAAAGATCGTTGAACCATGTTTGACTGGTTACTGGATGCGTATGAGCCATCAGAATGATCAATCACGTCTTCATATTCATGATGAGCACATGTAATTCTTGGTGGATCTCGAGCGAACAAGAGCTCTCTCTCCCACACTGGTAGAATAGATGGTGCATGTGCGCCTCTTGCCATCTCCGCAATGGCGGTCAGGAACATGAGCAATCCAGATGCATCACATATTGTGTGGTTTACGCGCAATGCAAGTATGAAACCTCCACATGTAAGACAGGTCACCTGCATATTGCAAAAGTTAGTTACTAGACTTTTTTCTTGATCATCATATTCATGCAAGTTAACAATTCTTTAGAAGAAAAGGCAAAAAAAAAAAAAAAAAAAAAAAAAAACCATCTAAATTAGATGATCTAATTAGGAAACAAAAATTTCGTAAAAATTAGGAATAAAATTCAAGAAAGATGGAGAGAAAGAGTCTTGCGTCTGTTGTAGTTACTTGAAAGAGTCTTTAAATAAAGAGGAATTTAGACAAAATGCTTATAGAAGAGAAAATTTTAGATAGAAGACAAAGAGGACGACATGGCGACATGCAAAAAACCTAGAAGAAGAACGGCAAAGGAAAACCTACACAATAAAGGTGATGTGAGGCTGGTAGAAAACCTATGACCTAATTAGGCAGATGCCATGTAGAAATATAATTTCCTTAATTCGGTGTGTATAGAAATTTTAAAATGTATAGGGTTAAACATAAGGATTGTCAAAGAAAAATTAGTTTCAAAAAATAATGAAAAGCATCTCATAATCTTTTCTTTCCAAAACCACTTAATGACTTTCTTTAATCATAAGAACAAAGAGGTGTGATAGTATCGTAGATAAGTTCAAGTTTGGGTGTGGTGGCAATATTATAAATTTTTGTTTCTGAAAAGGGTTGCCAATTTTATGAAAAAGTTAAAAACAGTTGCGGTGCCACCAAACATCAACTTATTTACAATATTGTTAGCACTTTCTTGTTTATGTCCTTATTTGTCGTTAAAAATTTCATGTGTTGTTGATTGCATTAATTTCTTACAAAAAATCTCCAAGGTGTGTATGCGACCTTAACGCAAAAAACACTACTCATACCCTTAACCTACTTCAAATTTTTTGTAAAGAATTAATTGGTCATATACGAAAAACTAAATAACATGTAATTGATAATTAATTGACTCACCTGAACTAACATCAAAGGACAACCAATAATTTCATCAGAGCCTGGAAAATTAAATAAGAACTCCTCCAAGAGTGGACAAGGAGGTAGAATTTTGTCTCCTAGTTGCTCAAGTGTGACATCAGCAGAAGCCTCAACGAACAAGATACCTTCACCATTGCAATCGACCACAAGCTTTCTGTTAGGCCCTTCCCTAAGCCTTCCAGCTAAAGGGTAGTAATACACTAATGCTCTACTTAAGGCTTCCCTAATCACCTTAACGGGATTACGATTTTTATTAAGTGAAGGGTTGTCTTTGTAACACATTATGACTGGAAGCTGAAATCTCAAGCCTTCTTGGTCGTCAATATCTGAGAGAAACTTTGTTTCTTGAGGCGTTGGCTTTGCCGGAATTATAAGTTCCGGCTGCAATCGTTTCATCTGAAGTACTAAGAGTGGCATCATTTCAGTAACGAGCTTAAGAACAAGCAAAAGATCAAACGATTTGGAACTTTTATTTTGTGGTATGTATGCTAACTAAAAGTTGATAGTCAGTACTTATACGGCGTTATGCAGATGCTCTAAGGTTCCCGAATCTTTCGTCCAAGTTTTCACCTGTTGTGAATGTGATTCTTTTCTTTTTCATTAAAAATATTATTAGAAAGAAATCACGCAATCAACATGGACTGCAAAGAAAAACATGTCCACGCCCTGTGAAACAATATACTTCCGTGCTAAAATGCCAACAATGTTTTCCTTTATAGCCCAACGCTTGACGTCCTCCCAACAATGTTTTCCTTTTATAGCAGACGTCAAATCAATGTTTTACAAAAGTCACAGCTGTAATTGGGGCAGGTACGTGCGATGTTGGCCTTTTTCCTTCCATTCCTATCAAAGGTTTTCTACCAAACACCTGGCCTCACATCCCTGTTAGTATTCAGTTTTCTGATGTTGAAATGAAATTCAGTATTAATGTATATGTACGAATCTGTGGTGTCAACATCAGAAAACTGAATACTAACAGGGGTATGAGGACAGGTGTTTGGTAGAAAACCTTTGATAGGAATGGAAGGAAAAAGGCCAACATTGCACGTACCTGCCCCAATTACAGCTGTGACTTTTGTAAAACATTGATTTGACGACTGCTATTAAAGGAAAACATTGTTGGGAGCACGTCAAGCGTTGGGCTATAAAGGAAAACATTGTTGGCATTTTAACACGGAAGTATATTGTTTCACATGGCGTGGAGCACGGCGAAGTGGTGGACTTCACATATGAGATAATAAATTTTGATATCATGATGAAAGTTAAAGTTCAATCGCTATTTAGTATTATAATCTAGTGATATTCCTCTTCACTTGTAAGTGAGAGATTTTATGTTCAATTCTCACCAAAGACAAATTTGAACCACATTATTATTAGTCCATTGTAAATTTAAGCTCATCCTTTTTCCCTTAGTGTAGATAATGTTGTTTGTTAAATAACAAAAAAAGAGTAGTTGATATTGTGAGTCTAAACTCATCCTCTTTCCCTCAATGCATATTTTCATATATTTTTAATCATATATTTCTTTTGGATTTTGTCTATATGAATGAGTTAAATGCACTAATTTATATTGTTTTATTTCCTAGGCATTTAATACGAAAGTTACGTGAAAAAGAAGTGGAAAATGGAGATTTCGGGCATCTAGAGTAATTCCAGTGAAGCACAAGACTAACTAGCTGCGCGAAGACATGTGCATTATAACAAAAAGATGAAACCAAGCGGGTTTGGAATCAAATGGACATGAGGATGCTATTCAATGGACTTTAGGAGGGACTTAATTTCTAGTTTTTATTATTTCTGTTTATTTTTTCCTTTTCTTTAATAAGGTTTTAAAGTCCATTATGCTTAAGAGTTTAGTGGGGTTTTAATTGGATTTCAATTAGCCTTGCATACCTTTTGCCGTGGGTGTTATATTAAGGAGATCCATTCTCCTTGTTTGGGGTCACCAACAACTAGAAAAAATAAGAAGCACAAGTCGACCTAGGGGCTGCGGCAAGGAAGAAGGAAGAATGAAGAGAGACTTTAGA